GTTCAAGGTTTAGGGTTTAGAGATTCAGGGTTAAAGGCTTAAGGTTAGATATTTGGGGTTCAATCTCTTGGGTGTAGGGATTCAGGGTTCAAGGTTTAGGGTTTAGGATTCAGGGTTTAAGGTTTAGGGATTCAGGGTTGTGGGATTAGGATTTAAGGTTTAAGGATTAAGGTTTAGGTTTGGGGTTTAGGGGTTCACAAGGTTTAAGGCTCAAGGCGTGGGATTCAGGGAGAAGGGTTCGTGGCGTCTTGTTGCGCAGCAGCTGGAGCAGCTATGTAGAAATGGCGCCCCGATGGGGTGTGGGCGGGGGGGGAGGGGGCGGCATATCTTGCGACGACACATCTCTCGTGCTCAACAAACCAGTGGCTTATCCTTCCCAACGCCTTCATATGCAGGCATCCATTCAACTTTATTCCTTTTCGTGTTTTCTGGCTGATATCCTAAAAAAATCCCACCTTTCTTTAAACTTCTGGACTGAAAGGTGCCTCAAGGGCCGCAGCAAATCATTATTTCAGCTTTTTCGGAGCAACCTCGGGGCCCTCAAGCTCAGATTTAGGGTTTGGGGCTACTGCACCAGCACGTGGAGGTGCAGTTCACGCTCTACGCAACCTTTAGGCTTGCATAGTAGCTCTAAGCGATGGTGTGAATGGCTGTCAGGTGTAGTTCTGGGTGCAGGCACCCTAGAAAAGGGTACGGCCTAAGCAGGCCTGGGTGGGAATTTAGGGATTCAGGGCTCAGGGTTAGGGCTCAGGGTTTAGGGTGTAAGGTTTAAGAATTCAGTGTTTCGGTTTGGGGTTTAGGGTTTAGGACTCAGGGTTTAGGGGTTCGGGGTTCAGGGATAAGGGATTCAAGGACTAGGGTTTAGGATTTAGGTTTCGGTTTAGAGATTCAGGGTTTAGAGCTTAGGTTGTAGGGGTTCAAGCTTTATAAGGTTTAAGGTTAGGAGTTCAGGGTTTAGGGTTTATGGATTCGGGGTCCAGGGTAAGGGCTTACAGCTTCCAAATCATGAAGCGACATCTTCTGGGGCTTGCGCGGAGAAGGTTTTGTAGTTCACCTCAAGAAGATTCAATCTAGGCAGTACAAGGAGCCTTCAACCTCTCTTGGGCAGCTGCCCCAGCTCTGGTTCGCCGAGCGGAGATGACATTGTCAGCTAAGCAAGCATAAATGGTAGAGGAAATCGTCTGCTGGTACCTCCACCAACTGAACCAAACTGAGTACAAGTTCCCGACAATCTGAGTGAAACGGCAGGGGCACCAACTGAAGATGCAAATCCCTGTGAACAGCAGAGCAATGCTCGAGGTGTACACGGCCATGACCATTGCAACTCCTGCTCTGGAAATGATAGGAAACCCGAAAGCTAAAGCATACCAGTAGTCCAGGCAGACATGCATAGAGAGCGTGCCTGAAAGAACAGCCACAAGCAGGTTGCCGCGCAGCAGGAAGTAACCTTAGGCTCACACAAGACTGGCTGTATGTGTTCAAAGACGAAAACCCACTCAGCAAGGCAAGTGCTCGATTGTAGGGAAGGGGCGATTTGTCTTATCGCCGATCCAACCAATCGGGTACCTCGAAAGGCTGCCAGTTCTCAGCAGGCTTGACAGGGACAGCTTATTTTTGCCAAGCAGCATTAGCACCATCGACCTCAGGACTTGAACGGCGGAAGCACCCGTTTATCCTCAAGCTTGACCATCCCGAGGGCCAGACAAGATGCCTTGGGCACTGTTTGCCAATCCCACAAATAAATTTGATGCAGGCTTGCCATAGGTGACCTGAAAGCCGAATGATTGAGGGATCAAACAACAACCACACTCTGCTTCATGCAGTCATCCTGACAGCACCATGCAAAGCGATGCATCAGCTTTTGCCCTTGTCTTGTCCACGCAATATGTCGTGGCGGAAGCCCGGGGCAGGGCGGTCGCTGTTGCAGGGCAGTTGCCTACTGTGGTGGTCGGACGTTGCAGCACTCAACTGTGCTGAGCATGTGCTGACCAACAGCAGGCTGCAGGCTTGCTTCCTGTCAGCTGCATGCTGACGCATCTCCCTCTGCTGACGTAGCTTGGCATCTGCGGCAGCCAGAACCGAAGCAATGCGCGAGTAGCCCTTGGTCAACCTCACCCTTCGCTCATCGGCCCAGGACTGTCTGAACGTTTTGGACATACTTCTCACCTTGCAAGTGACGCCAACATGGAATCAGACCGGCACCCGTGACAAAGTAAGGCACACACCCACGTCACCTTTCGGAAATGGGAAGCGCTGCGGCCCATCCAAGTAGGCACGCAGGCTGGGCAGCGCCACAACCTTCATAGTGGCCACCATTCCAAGTGAAATGACACAAATCATGAACGGACCTCTTTGTGGAGCTGTCCCAGCATAGGATAAGGCGACATGGCATCAGGTCTGATATTCAGCAGCCTGGGCTAGAGCTTGCAGTTGTTCAGAGCAACGTCTTCCTGCTAAAATCCTCGCAAATCAAAAAAAAAACTGAACGCAATGTCCTTCAAAAATGCGTCTGCGCGACTCTTCCACAAGCTCAGCCAGCCTCCAGCCACAAGTCATTCGGCATGACAACGCCCCACATACAGTGGACCTCAACCCTTATGATGCTTTCCAGCTGAGGGGCAAAACATCCGCCGCAGAGAGGCCCGACTCCACAAATCCCAGGGTCCCGTCCGGTCGCTTGCGCACCATGGCCTCCATGGGCTGCATTTGCTTGGCTGTCCTGGCAACAGGTCGAATCTTTCGAGGGCGAAGCTTCAGGAAATGCCATCAGCCTGGCGGGAAGTTCCGCTGTCAGCATGGCCTGAGGCACTGCAACCGGCTCTGTAGAGGTCTGCAACACAGCTTGGCTTGCCTTCTCTGGGGTGAAGGGATAGCTCACCACAATCGTCCGGGCATCCTTGATTCCCTCCGCCACCATGTCAATGATTGCCGACTCTTCCGGCGTGCTGCCCCAGAGTTTTCCTCGCTGCGCCACATAGCGCATCATCGCCTGAGCCCAAGCCAGACTCAGGCTAGCATCAAGCAGCTGCGAGGCAGCTAATGGGAAGCTCTGAGGAGGCACACCCATCAGAAAGAGCTGTCGAGACAGTCTTATGAACATGCCGAACACGTCCAAGCACTGGGTGCTTCAGACGACAGGAGCACGTTGGGAGTCTCCTTGAGATTTCAATTTCAGAGTGTTCGATCTGCGCTCACTTAAATATCGCCAGGCTGTACGCTCCAAGAATATGTGAGACAAATGTCGAGCAGAACGAGTCCGAATCGGAGATTGAGACGGCATGAGTCTTTAGAGACCGCAAGACCTTTGGAAGTTCTTGGCATAAGGGCTACGAACATGTTTTGAACCGAAAAGCAAATGTGGCAAGAACATTTTCGTTAAAGTCTCGAAACGATTCTTCCGGAGTGGCAACGCAGGGACTGCGTGCAAGGATTTCATGTGAACACTGGACACGCCGTAGGGCAGTGTGAGTCATCGAGGTTACAATGGGGCTAGGCTTGATCACGCATGAGCTGATGCTGGTGGTTCCGAAAAAACAACCGTGGACTGGAGGTGAATGACCGGGAGCCAAAATTAGATTCCCTGACCAAAGCAAAGCCTAGGAGCTAGCACTCTTGCTCTGGCAGCACTAGTTGAAGCATCAAACACATGAGCTACGGCAACTACGGTCGTGCCTGCGATTGCACAAGACGTAGCCCATCGATCTCGAGCAGCGGGAGTTGTCCAAACATAAGTTTGCCCTCCTGTCTGAGTGCCAGAAACTCCTGCGAAAAGCAGATGATTGATTGATTGATTGAAGCCGTGAACATCAGCGCTCTGCCTTGTTAGGCAAGGCCAAACTCGGACTTAAAGCAAATGAAGGCTCACTAGGAACAGAAAAGGACAGCTCCCACTCCTCGTGACGATGCAGAGCGACCTTCAGCTGCACGAACGTTCGGGGATGTTTGGGGCACAGGCATGGCAAGTATTGGATCGGGAAGGACATCACGTGACTGCGCAAAAGCATTGTCGCAAAAGAAGCCCAGCCTGCTCCCAGGAGATACCAGCAGCTGCCATCATCCATCTTGCTTGCTCTGCAAGGCCATAGCCCTCGAAATAGGTCAGGCGAACCTTGGCTTCTCTCAATGAATTGGAGGAATCTGTATTGACCCATGCTTTCGCGGCTGAAGGAAGCTTTGCAGACAAAGTGCTTCAGGCATTGAAGGCGAACACAGTCGAACCTGGGATGCTCAAATCAAATCACCTCAAGCCAAGGCAACTCGTGCACATGAATCTGTGGTGAGGCACTGTCGTTGGACGGGTTGATTTTGCCCAGCTGACAAGAAATGCCCAATTGAAGGACAAGCAGCAGCTGGCCAACAGGACCTGGTCAAAGCTGCGGCCGGGCCCGCCAAAAACAGTTGGAGTACAGGGGGTGGGGTGGTAGCTTGGGGTTTAGGGGTCGCACCCGGAAAGGTGTAGGAACTCAAAGCGTCACCTCTGTTGCTGAAGCAGGTCCAGGGCACAAGGGCACGTCCAGCCAGCCGGCGTCTTGCCATTCTATGGAAGAAGTCCCTTGAGCCTCAGAACCTGCATTTTTCTCAATGCTCCCTACGCTCCCCTAAAACCAGGGCACCTTCCAGTCCATCGCAATTTTTGGGGAAGTGGTTCAATGCAAGTCTGGACAGCAGATAGTGCAGCAGCTGAGCCCCTGACAAACCGAATATCGAAATTAGCTGGAAGATGCACATCTGGGACCCTGCGCAAGTGTTCATCAACACCAGTACCGAACGATTGGGCAAAATGATTCCCTGAATTGTTCCAGAGCCGTTGTATTAAAGCAAAACAATTTGCCGCCTCATGGGTGGACTTTGTAAGGATCCAAGGAAAAGATGTGCATCTTCCCGGCCTCAGATGGGGATTTACCAAAATTAGGGGATGCAGGCTTATTATATAAGAATTATGGAAAAGAAAATGGAAACTACTATTTTGAAATTTGCAGGTCTCTCTTCAAAGGATTTATAGCAATTTAGAATCCACATTGCTATTTATGAAAACTACCAGGTGTCAGCAAAACAAAGCAGTTGCCTGGAAATCACAGCAAACGCCATTGAAGCCCGTGCGTGGCAGAGTGTGGTACTCTGTCCCCGGAACTTCACAGACTTTCGTCCCGTTGATGAACATGACCATACCCTCATCCAGCAATCATGCAGTAAAGAACAAAGCATGCTGGATACAAAACCTTAAACCCTACAAGCTTTTGAGGCCACTGCGCCGTCCGAGTGGTCCATCTTGCCCTTGGAGTTATCAACCCCACTCGCCTGCCAAGAGCTTTTCCGCTTCTGCAAACAGATTTAGTTCGAGTTGTGCAACATGGGAGGTTTCCCAACAATTAGCGGCACCCCCATATTCAGGAATGTAGCATTTTGGGGTCCTTATGGGGTCCCCCTACCACATGTTTCAGTCACAGCTGTACACTGGAGCAGCAGGGTTCATAAAGGTACAGTAAACAGCCTCACTTTGAGCTGCTTACTGCTAGGACTGGCAAAACAAAGCATTCATTTTCCGCACATGTCGACGAAGATGCATCTGCAGGTCACTTTGGGCTTCTGCTTGACGCTTCCTCGAGCCTACCCACAAACCCTCCTCAAGCAACCAGCCCCATACCTGCACAGCTACTCGCCTACTGCAACAGATCAGCTCTCAGTAAGCCTTGAGCTTGATGTGTGTCCATCGGTGCAGCGGCAGTTCATTCCTTAGGTTTCTTCTTGACATGAACTTCTCTGTCTACCAGTCTAGCAATAAGTGATGCGTCACAGCTGGCAACCTTAGGACATGTACAAACCCTCGAAAGCTCTCGAGGTCATAGAAAACAAATGCCCTTGCAGAGCACAGCATGGCAAAGCCGGCCAATGAGCACCAAGGTTCGGAGCTTCACAGTGCTGCAGCCTGTTGTAGCTCCTGAGCCAGGCAAAGTTTAGCATTTGGCGTGCTGGAAGCGTCTGCTTGAGCACAGGCTATAAGCGATGGATCATGAATGAATGACAGACACTGACAAGGTTTCTGACATGTAGGCTTAGTGGTGACGTACACCTCAGAGTTGAGGTGAATTAATCATTGGCCCTATTCTGGGATGAAGAATGACTTGCCGAAACGGAACAGTTGCCTCCTGTCTAATGTCTCGTTCTGACCGACCGCATCCATGGTGATTTGGAGCTTGGTCCTGGCTGAGGCTTCCGAAGTCATGTTCGATTGAGACTTCTGACATTGCCAAATTTGTGCAGTTGCGACTTGGCACACCCTATACTCCTGATTAAAGCATGACAGGCTCGCGTGCCATTCGTGAAGTACGCAAATGGTATACCTGACATCCAGGAAGGCCTAAAACCCTCCAAATAGCATAGTCCGGATGAAGGGACACCGATAAAAGATAACCCTGAACACCAACTCCTGCACGTCACCTCCTATACATCTGCTTTGATGTCGCTTTAGAGGGACTCACAAGTTTGTGGCTGCCCGAGACCTGGAACCGATTAACTGAAGCCACACAAAGCCGCACAGCAACACGCGGCAGGTCCACGGTTGCCAACCTGAGGCTAGAGGGCAAGTCCACAATTTAGGGTTGGGGGCTTCGAAGTCTGGGGGTTTGGGGGTTTGGGATCTTAAGGACTTTTCGCGACTCAAACAGTTCATCCATTCAAATATGTTCCGCATGAATGTTAACATCTTTGCCGTGGATCCAGTTGTAGCAAACTTTGATGCTGTCGCACATCAACAATCGATTTGCGCTTGTGAAACAAACCCACCAAGAGCAAGGCCGGGGAACATTCAAAGCATCCTTGTAAAAATGTTCAAATGATCGTCACGAGAAAGCCGCTGCAACAACATGAATCCAGCATGAGGACGAAAAACAAATTTTGTGAGCGACTAAAGCTTTACGATGTTGTTTGGGCTCCAGGTGAGGATTTGAGATTCACGGGGCCAGCGTTCCGATTAGAGCTGAAAGGCTTGAGCTGTAAGAGCTTTTGTTTAAGGGTCAATTTACGGCTTTGAGGCTACAGGGCTTCAAGCTGGGCTCGAAGGGCTTTCATTTTAGAAAAGTTGTGTTTCGAAGTTGAGGGCTTCGGCTCTAGCATTTTGCAAGTCTCCGGCGAGCTTCAGAGTGTTGCATTTTGCAGCTTAAGGTTTGAGATACCTTGCTCTTGTTGAACGTTTTACTTTAATTTCAAGTGTTTTAGTCTCCCGTGCTTAAAGAATTTGGAGCTTTTTGTTTGGGCTTTCAAGTTCTTGATTTGTGGCGTTTGGACTTAAAGGCTGTAGGGCTCGAGAATTAAACAATTTCGGGCTTACGCGGGTGTAGGGTTTTTGGCCTTAGGGCTAAGGATTAGCGTGGTAGGGTCTGGGCTTAGAGACTCCAATCTGGAGTTTGGGCTTCAAGGATTACGGTTTAGGTTTGGGCTTCCAGAGCTCTCAAGCTTTTAAGCTTTCGGGCTTGAAGGAGGCTTTAGCATTGAAAAATTCAAGAAGGCTACAGGCACGAGTTTTAGGTTTTGGGCTTTGCGAGGGCTGCGGCTTGATTGTTGGATTTAAGGGCTTGAAGGTGGGCTTTAAGGGCCTTGGTTTTTTTGTCGAACGCACAGAGTAAAACAACACGATGAGACTAGGGACGGGAGATTAATGCAGTCGAGAGGCCCTGATCCCAGTCATGCTGCCATCTTTCATTCTCAAAGTCCCACTCCAGATCGTCTATACTGAACAGGCGCCACTCTTCGTTGGCTCCCTGGGTTAGGAACGCTGTTTTTCTGAGGCCAACTATTTTGTTTGAGCTCTCCCTACACTCCCCGCCTCCAGCCAGACGTA